AGTTTACATACTTTCCTTTCTTGACCAGGAACTATAAACCCTTCTGGTTGTTCCATGTAGATCTCTTCTTCTAGATCTCCATTAAGGAAAGCTGTTTTCACATCCATTTGATGTACTTCTAAGTTCCGCAAGGAAGCTATTGCAAGTATCATCCTAATGGAATTTATCCTTGACACAGGGGCATATGTATCAAAATAATCAAAGCCCTCACGTTGATTGTAACCCTTAATTACAAGTCTGGCTTTGTACTTATCAATGGAACCATCTGGTTTCATTTTCCTCCGAAAGATCCACTTAGAACCTAACGGTTTGCATCCAGGAGGTAGATTCACTAACTCCCAAGTGTGATTCTGCATAATAGAATCAACTTCACTTTTAATTGCCTCTTTCCACTGAGGGCCTTCAGACGAAGTCACTGCTTCACGATAAGTTTGTGGTTCATTTTCTAATAAACATGTTAGAATATCGGGTTCAGTCTCTATCAAAAAAGATAGAGTCCCCGATTCAAATTCCAACAAATAAGTTAGAAAATCATTACCAAAGGACTTCTGAGTCCGTGTCCTTTTACTTCGTCTTAGTTCAGTCTCAGTTTCGGTTTCATCAATGATACCGATATTAGACTGATCCGAGGAACCATCGTTCAACATTTCATCATGTGAACGTTTGGAAGAACTTACTTCTTCCCTCGACTTTAACGGAAATGTATTTTCGAAGAATGTTGCATTCCTCGATTCCATTATCGTGTCCTTATGTATTTCTGGATTATCAGACCTATACACTAAGAATCGATACGCGCTACCACTGTAGCCAATAAAGATTGCATCAACGGTCTTTGGACCAATCTTTATTTTCTTTGGTGGTGGTGCTAAAACTTTTGCAAGGCACCCCCACACTTTCAGGTATTTATAGGAAGGTTTCCTATTATACCACAACTCGTAAGGAGTCTTATCGAGTTTCTTTCGGGGTATTTTATTTAACAAATAATTGCTAGATAAAATAGCCTCCCCCACATATTTTGGGGTAGCTCCGAACTAAGCAACATCGCATTCATCATATCTTTGAGAGTGCGATTTTTCCGTTCCGCCACACCGTTTGATTGGGGTGTGTATGGCGGAGTTACCTGATGCACAATTCCATGTTGTGCACACAAATCGGCGAATGGAGCTTTGTACTCCCCGCCCCTATCACTCCTAATCGCTTTAATTTTGCGATTGAGTTGATTTTCTACTTCATTCTTATACCGAATGAAAGTGTCCAACGCCTCATCTTTACTTTTAAGTAAATAAATATAGCAATACTTCGTGCTATCATCGACAAAAGTGACATATTTGTTACCACCTCTTGAAGGCGTTGATTTGAAATCACACAGATCCGTGTGAATTAAATCCAGTGGCTGAGTGGTTCGCTCAATTGTTTGAAACGAACTTCGCGTTGACTTTGCTTCGACACACGTCTCACATTTGTGGGACTGGTCGATGTGAAACTTAGGGATATATTCCATGTTAATTAATTTCTGAAGAGATGCATGATTAACATGTCCTAGTCTTCCATGCCACACATTGGAGGACTCACAAACATAGGCAACAGGAGTTTTATTAATTTTCTCAACAACAGTGAGTACATTAAGCTTAAAAAGCCCATCAGAAATATAACCTTTGCCTATGAATATTCCCTTTTTACTCAAGATCATCTTATCAGACTCGAACACCATGCGGAATCCATGTTTGTTCAATAGTGAGCCTGACACCAAGTTTTTCCGTATGTCCGGCACATACAACACATCATTCAGCGTGAGCTCCTTACCGGATGTCATCTTGAGCTTAACTTTGCCCACGCCTTGAACCTCGGATTGGGCGGAGTTGCCCATCCACACCTTGTCGCCAGAAGTCTCCTTAAAGTCAAAGAGCATGGCCTGATTGGAGCAGATATGACGAGTGGCTCCGGTGTCAACCCACCACTCTTTCGGGTTAGACCCGACCAGGTTGACCTCTGTCACGACCGCACAAAGATCCATAGCATCTAGCTCCGAGCAGAGAGCTTCTTCCTTCTTCTGCTTCTTCTTCTGAGGCTTCTTGCGGCACTCTGAAGAACGGTGGCCCGTAATACCACAGTTGTAGCATTTCCCAGCGAACTTAGTCTTCGCGACGCCTCCTTTAGGACCAATTTTCTTCTTGTCCTTATTTGGCTTGGGCCCTTTGGAAGAACCCTCTTTGGGTGGATGCTCCACCACATTGGCCTTAGCAACAACTACTTTCTTCTCGCGAGTGAGACCCTCCTCACGGATCCGGAGACGAACAAGTAACTGTTTTAAAGTCATCTCTTTCCGTTTGAGCTTAAGATAGCTCCGGAACTCATGTAACACCCGCCTTCCGTGAACCCGGTTCACCCGCGACCCAACGGACCTGTAGGGTTACATGGGCGGTCCGAGAACCGTCCGTTACAAACACATTAGTGATTATTTAATGTGAGAACGGTTACGTTTGATTTATGGGATATTAATGACTATTTATTATGAAAACGTTTGTGTTTAATTGGTGTAGTCAATGTTAGGATAATTATCAGAAACGTGAGTGATATAAATGCAGAGTAAAAGCGGAAGTAAATAAATGAGTAAAACGACAAATGGTGGGTTCATGCCCAAATGATTAATTAATTAAATGTATTCAATTACTGAACTTGTCCATGCGCCGCCCATCTTCCCACCATCACTGTCCTCCAGGGTTAGCACCTGCACCGTCATGTCTACCTGCGTGTAGCAAAAACAACTACACGCTCAGCATAAGCTGAGGAGTGAATCTAACAAAAGAACATTAAGTGATAACCCATATGGCTATACACATATTAATACCTGTACCTATCATACGGAAAACCACATGTTACTAACTGATTAATTTACACCTGTTGGGATACTATTACGTATGATGTGCTACCACATTGAATACGAACATGATGGGGAACATACATGATGATGACAACCACATTGAATGTTGATGTGACATGGAGCATACATGATGACTATATGACTTGATGCATGACTTATGCTATTATGGACACCCCTGACTTAGTCTCACTTGACACGATCACCCCTGCACTCCGGTAATGACCCGGGCTCGACAATGTCGCAAGTGAACTAGCAAAAACCGGGTGGTAGCCGTAGCCTAGCTACCATGTACGTACACAAAGCCCACTTGATGAAAACCCGTTGGATCCCGAGGGTTCCTGGACGGGCCCGCTGTAGTAGGCACACAAAGTCCTCCCTACAACGGTATGCACATGATGAAAACCTAGGACATGCGTCTAGGATGAACGTGATGAATACATGTGTTCAGATTGGACATGATGAATGCTTGATGCCAATAATATATCATATAAATAACATACATGATGAAGATTAACATTTAATGCAAACACACAATCTGATTCTGAGTCAAAATGGTCAACGGGGCTCGTTCTACAAACTGCCCGAAATACTGCCCGCGGAACGGTCGACCGTGTCCTACTGGCGGTCGACCGTGGCTATACTATGGAGGTCTGGATGGCCGACGGTCCACCGTGGTCTTCCGTCGTGGCCGGCGGTCGACCGTCACGGTGGTGACCGCCGGACTGGCCATGGGAACGGTCCACCGTCCGTAGCGGCGGTCGACCGTCCCGATGACAGTCTTATGCCTTTGGCTCCGTTTTGATCCGTTTTGCAAACTTAACACCCTGATTCTTTTTAGAACAATAATGTAAACATTGATAAATATATTCCTAGTGATTCCTAGGCCAATATGTACAAGTTTTACGTAGTGAACATTTTGATGGCTAACCTACGAACATGCATAGATTCTACGTAGGTTGCGTACGATATTCTTATGAATATAACAACATAGATTATAACTTGATGTTCTAGAATTAGAGGAGACAACTACTCACCTCTAGATGATGTGTTGAAACTACGAATGGATGATGATGAACGAACAAATGAATGAACGGTTGAACGACGAACAATGTACGACTTCTCGTGTGAGCTTCTCCTCTTCTACCTCCCCGTCTACTTGCCGTAAAACCTTCTGGAGCTGCTAAGGCCTGGCCGAACATGCAAGGGGAGAGGAAGAGATGGGTGTTATGGTTTGGGGAGGTTACACATGATGAGAGAAATGAAGGGGAAGAGGAGTTTTATAACCATGAGGAGTTATGGGAGTTTATGGAGAAATTATGATGGGATATGAATGGGGGGTTATGGGAGATGAAGAGTGTGGCGTGGGAGAGGATTGGATGGGGAGTTATCTCCCTAAACTTTACTCCGTTGTGTAAAACCTGAGCTGAACGGTACGCAGTTTTTCCCCCAAACGGGTCCAAATTGAAGACCGTTTATGGTTTTGGAATCAGACAGTCAAAATGAATTTAATGACATGTTCAAATAATTTTTCTAGGAACTTTATTTTCAAACATCCGGGTCCACCCCAATCATTAATTAATTTATTTAAATAATGTTGAGAGGTCCGTTATTAAAACATTTTTCTTGCATTTAAAACAACATCAACTTTTGAAGTCCATTTGTAGAGATCAAAATCTCAATAGTACTAATTTATAATAATGAGTCTCAATAAATAAATAATATTTATTTATTTAAACTAAGCCGGTTTGTAGGGCGTTACAACTCATCCCAAGTCGGCGGGAGCACATGAATATTTGCCGCCACTTGGAATGCCTCATTGACTCCCATTCCCTCATTAGTGCACTCATTAAAAATGAGAATCAATTCTTCAGCTTGACTGACCACGGGTTTGGAATCCACCATCTTAAAATCCAAGACCTTACCGACAACGAATTTCTTCGCACCGGCGTCCTCGGCCTGGTATTTGTTGGACAGTGTAGTCCATAACTCCTTTGCGGATGCAGCCCTTCTATAAACAGCATATAAGGCATCGCTCAAGCAATTCAGGATAAGGTTAAGGCACGTATAGTTATTCGCTATCCATGCCTCTTTAGCCTGAATTGTTGGCTCGTCCGCATTCTCCCCCACAACAGGGGGATCCTCCCTCAAGTACCTCGCAAGGTTGAGGGTGGTCAGCCAAAATAACATCCTTTGCTGCCATATTTTGAAGCCAACACCTGTGAACTTTTCCGGTTCTTTGACAGAGTTTGCAGGCAGCATGACAGTAGGATGTCCGACCGGCGCGGATGTAAAGACACCCGTGTTCGGTCCAAGTGAGGGAATGACCGGTATGGCCGAAGCCATATTCGGTCCGAGTGGGGGGACCATTGCGGCCGTAGCCGCGGTTGGTCCAATAACTGAGGTGAACGGAGCGGACCCCATAGTCGCGCTCGATCCAACAAAGGTGGTGATCGGAGTGGACCCCATGGCCGCACTCGATCCAAAGGGAACGTTGATCGGAGTGGTCTGCCCAACAGAGCCACCCAATCCAGCCGAAACGTTCACAACCGGAGTCTCGGAACTACTCCCGTTTCCGGTGTGAGCATCAAAACCGAATCCGTCCATACCCGCCATCGTGCACGGATATGGCACTATTAGCTTAAGATTGTTAGAAATGATTGTACAGTTTACAATAGACGGGAAGAAGAACGGTCCCGGAAACTAAAAGAAATAAAATAATCCGAATTTATAATTTTATTCGGATTAAATACAATAAATAAAATAAAATTAGCTTCCAATCTTCAAAGGCCTTCTTTGACAATGAGGACTTTGTGCACTGAAAAGAAGCAGCGAACTAGGACGTAGAACTCGAGAATAAAATCTGCAAAATAGAACACTGTAGAAAGGCAGCGGAGTCGCCGGAGCTGTCCTTAAGGTAATAGTGCCCACCTACCGTACTGGAGAACGTGGGCACTTTCCTCCCAGGATAAAACCGCTATCGTGTGTAGTGGTTGTACGGACCGACTACACACCAACGAACAAGAACAACGTCGGAGTATTGCTGACTAAAAAAAAATGTTGAAGAGGATGGCTTGAAACTTTGGCAAAAAACTAGAGCTTTTGCACTCACAAAGTTTTTTTTTTCTCTTTTTCCTTTCTTGTTCGTAAAAACCAAGGGGAAACAAAAAAAACTTTTAATAACAAGTAGGCAATCTTCTCTCTTCTTGTGTGTACGTATATATCCAAAACCGAGAAGCATGAAAGGCCATTTAACATTTAATGCAATTAACACGTGCCTTCATTTTTTATAAGAATTGAAACGGATCAATTCTTTATCATGGGTATAATGACACTCATCAATAATCATAATGATTATATCAATTATGTACATTATTATCAACCGTTGGCATACACGTTAGTTTAAAATTTGTTCCTATAAATTGGAGATTAGTGGCTAGTTAACTCCTAAATTGGAACTAATTAGAACAAACGTGTAAAACAGGTTGTAGAAATTTGAAAATAATAAATATTTTCTTCTACTCAACAGTTCATTTGAGAATCAATTTCTCATTCACCCTCTACCATTTTTGGCGTATAAATTATCAAAATATTTATCTCATTTAAGAGAACACACGTCCATTAATTAACGGTTAAAACCGTTAGTGGACCTATTGACAAATATATCCAAGTTGGTCCATTTAATGCCTACTAAAATGCCAAAAATTCCAATAGCCACGAGCGCACAAAGCATGCATATCACTCAGAAAAACCGATAACTTCTTTTCCACCCCAATGCCATCTTTATTAAGGACAAAAGTATGTTCTCTATCATCAGACAATGCTTCCTTTGCCCACAACCATACCCGTTTCAACTGCAGTGGATACTCAGGACCAAATTCTACACTGAACTCTTGGGCACATTCTTCATCGTCTGGAACATGTGCCTTTTTCAATCTTTTAGGGGCCTTTTTCTTATTGATTGTTTTTAAATTGCTCTATAAAAAAAGTGCATGTGGGTAAATATATTATCTAAAAGAATCAAGTAGACATAATAGTAGATATATAAAAACATTTCCTTTAGGAAGCACATCCAAGACTATCAGCTCCTTAGGCCATGCTACAAAAGTTCCTTAGGCTTGTTCAACAGTAAGTACTTCACCGGGGATTGGGACTGGAATGTCAACATCTGGCAAATATCAAATATTAAAAACATGAGTACTTCTAAAATGTGTGCATTTCATCCTTAGCTTATATGAAATAGTATGTTTGATATTGTTAATTATCGGTATATGTAACAGTATATGTACCAGAATTTGTTTACTTTTATACTGAGTAATAAGAATACTTTAATGGACTATGCTACACTTACACCAAAAATTGTACCCCATTTGTACACCGCATTTATACACAAACATTTTGATGGTTTACATTGACTTAAGTGTTGGTGGTTAACAAATATTTACACGGACACAAAGTGTTGGTGCGTTAACAAAATTTAGTCTTACACCAACACAAAATGTTGGTGCAAACCTACGGTGTACAAATGGGGTACAAAAGCTTGGGGTACAAATAACTTTATCCTACTTTAATATCAACATTCAATTTGGACATGAGAACCACTCATCTTCCTCCATCCACCACCAAATACAATCAATGACTCTTATCATGAACTAAACAAACTAGAACCACTCATCTCCCTTCCCCTCCTTATCCGATCTCACCGCAGACTCCCGAACAAACCCTTCATCTCCATTCCAATGGCCCTCTCATCCGAATCTGTTATTGGCGGCCATGTATCTGAGAACGAAGTAATTTTCATTCAAAGCGACGACGATGGTGTGGATGATTCAAAGGAGATTGAAGTCATCTATTACCATGAAGAGGAAGACATCATAATCATTGCTGGGACTGAGAAGGCGCAGTTGATGCTAGACGACGGCCAGAGGTATGAGATACTCGCAATGGAGACTTCTCTGGGGATCTTCAAACCTTGGGATCCGAAGACAGATATAATGAAGTTCATGCAACCCACTTCAGATGTGAACTCTTCAGTCTCAGAGATCAATTCCAAGTATGTCATTTCACATTTAATTCCTAAGATTATCGAATTTCATTTGTAATTTATGAAATTTCAACTTCACTAATACATGTGTGTTATACTTTAACCTGCTCTAATTACCGTATCAGTGTTCACTTCTAATTACCATATTTAATCTCTACTACACTAATGGGAATGTGTGATATTGTGATGATTATTAGTTGAAATGGCTGATTTTTTTCTACAATATACAATAAGCTTAAATGGCTTAAATGTCTTTTGAATGATCTCACCAAATTAACAAACATGACAACTATTATGTAGAGGACCTTATTTAACCCAGATTTGAAATTATTTTGAACAACGGTTTAAGTCCCCTTTTGATACTGACATGGAACCAAGAGCCGGCAATTCCATGGTGTCTCTCTTAAAAGTGCATTATACTTTAACCCCGTCTAAGGAGGTTGAAATTTCAATGTCACTATCTTAACCTACAAAAATAATTTCAGTGTGCCTGATAAATTGGTTAAGGAGATGCTGGGATAATGTGTTATGCATAGTACCAATTTGTTTCTTCTTACAACTGTGTCACACTGCGTGATGATTAACTTCAAGAGCAACTCTTGAGATAAATGTGATTGTATTTCGTTTGTTGTCCAAGGAGTAATGTGGCCATGGCTGAAGGCATCAGGAAGGACAGAAGAAAAAAAAGAAAGTCAGTGGTACCCATAAAAAGAAGAAGAAGGTGTAAACCAATGAAGACTGTCTGCATTCCAAAATACTTAAAATGGTGGAGGGGTGTTTGTAATGGGATGTTTTTGTATGGTTTTTTCGGTGGCCAATTAAAACCAAGACATGCTATTCTTGTTTTCGGAGGGAAGTTTGGAACAAAATATTATTAGATTAAGATGTTTCTTTTGGTATGTTATTATATGTCTTGGGATTTATGTATTATTTAAAAAAAATGTTTCAAGGTATTCCCTTATTGCTGCAAACTAGGGACGGCAATTCAACTCGAACCCAAGCAGAACCGACCCGACCGAAAATAAAATAATCTGTACCCGACCCCAAATTTTTTACCTGAACCCGAACTGAAATTCTCTAAAAGTCGGGTCGGGCTCAGGTATAGTACTATCCCCCCTATTCTTAGAATATGATAGCTCTTTAGAAATGTTTTAAACCAAGTGGAATCAAGACTTAGATTACTCTTAAAAATTATTATGTCACATGTTGTAATCTACAAAAACTTTTAAACCTGTGAATTGTGTAATGGGAACAATAAAAAACATAATCTTTTGATGTAATTGTATTTGATTTAAGGACTACTCATCTAAGTATGAGTTATATTTTGGTGGCATATAAAGAAAAACGGTTGAAAATGCAAAACTTTCAAATTAACAGACCAACATATAGAATTTGTTTGTTTTCAAATTAACAAACCAATATATATTCCAGTACTTTAAAACATATTTTATCACTATTAGAAAATTAAAACAACTAAAATTATGTTTATAGAATCTCAAAAATTTAGAATAAATGCGAGCCAGTGTGAAATACGGGGTTAACACTATTAATTTTTTATGAAACACTTAGTATTAATATTTTCGTAGTAAAAACTTTTTGCATAATTTTTTTTGTATAATAATTTTTGTATATAATTTAGTTATATATAATTAATAGAAGTTTATAGGCCATTTTTTAGGGAGCAATACTAGGTTCACAAACAGAATGATCACAAACTTCACAAACATGCCATTTATGGTTTAAATTTTCATTTTAAAATTATTTTATACTATTTAATAATTTTTTATAGAAGTTCAGAAATAGTAAGTTTGTGAATTTTGTGACCATTTTATTTGTGAATCTAGCATTTCTTTTTTTTAGGGTACATTTAGTCAAATTTGGGATAGATTTAGCCATTTAGGATCCCCTCCATGGCTCCATGCCTCCATGTACTTTCCATCTCATCAGAAAAAATTAGGTGAAGTCTAGCACTGGAACAAAAAGGTGAAGTCAATATCCTTTTCCTCTGGACCTGCGGTATCTGTAAGTTCGTGGGGGCGCAGCCTATTTAGCCAAAAGATTAGCCAACACCATGGAACCAATAGTATCAGCGAGTGGAAACCCTATGGGGATCGAGCTGGGATGAAATTAAGCCTAGGGTGAAATCGAGCTCTCCTGTTCAGACATGGCAGCGATTAATTTCAGCCATAGGTGAAGTCTAGCTGTTTGTTCATCACTGCGGTATTTTCGGCGATGGAGTAATACTCTGCTAGCAATAGGTCATGACATGAGTCTGGTAAGTCACCACTCTTATCTCAATTACGTATGGATAAATCGTGGATGAAATCCGATAGAAGAAGCAGAGAGTATGAACTAGGAGTGGATGAATTGTTAAGGTCTGCAAGTGAAAACAGATTTGAGGGACAAAAAATTAGTTGTCCATGTCTAAACTGTGTTCACACAAAATCCTGGAACACAAACAGTTAGGGCACATCTTTTGCAACATGGTATTGATGAATCGTATACATGTTGGATATGGAATGGAGAGCTAAATCCAGAGGATGAACCCCCTCACCCACACTATAAACGTGTTCATGACTCATTTGTCGATGGAATAGATGAAAACAACGAAGAAGATGACAGCTCTTTTGAATACTCTGATTTCATGAACCATGTCCAAGGGGATTCTGAACCCCTCTACCTAGGATGCAAGAGCTACACTAAGCTCAAGGCACTAGTGAAATTATATAACTTGAAGGAAAAGCATGGGATTTCTGATTCATGCTTCTCTGAAATTCTGCTTTTGCTAGGGACATTTCTCCAAAAGGGCAACTTCATGCCTTCGTCATTTGGTGAAGCAAAGAAGACCTTATGTGCTTTAGGTATGGATTATCAAAAAATAAATGCATGCCCGAATGATTGTCTTCTATATAATGGCGAGAGAGATGAAGATAGTACAACATGTCATATATGTGGGATCTCTAGATGGAAGTTGAATAGAAAGGGCAAAGAATTGGAAGGGGTACCCGCTAAGGTTTTGTGGTATTTTCCTTTACTTCCGAGGTTGAGTAATTTCTTTAATACACCACATATTGCAAAGGATATGACTTGGCATGACAACGAATGATACTAGGAACCTTCGGTTAGCTTTATCAATTGATGGATTCAATCCATTCCGTGGAGTTTCTACAATGTACTCATGCTGGCCTGTTTTAATATCGATTTACAACTTACCACCTTGGTTCTGTATGAAGAGAAAGTATATAACTTTAAGCATGTTGATATCAGGACCAAATCAGCCCGGAAACAACATTCATGTCTATCTTCAGATGGTAGTTAAAGATCTTCAAAGGTTGTGGATTGGTGTTCAAGTCTATGACACGTACAGAAAAGAGTTCTTCACATTGCGGGCAGTTTTGTTGTGGACAATTAGTGATTATCCCGCATTGGGTAATTTGTCAGGCAATGTTATAAGAGGCTATAATTCATGTGTTGTTTGTGGTGATAAAACAAATGTTATCAGGTTGCGTAATTACCGTAAGATAGTTGTTATGAAGCATCGCAGGTGGTTGCCACGACAACATCCATATCGAAGGCAAAAAGCAGCCTTTGATAACACAGTGGAAAAGAATACAACTCTTATCCCATTGACTAGGGAAGAAGTTATTTACGTGTGCAATCGTTAAGTTTCCATGTCTACGGGAAAAGAATACAACTCTTATCCCATTCTCTATACTTAATGTGTAATTGTCCAATTTTAGATCAAACAAATCAATTTCTCAATGGTTTTTATAAGTTTTCATTTATAATTGTAAACGTGCACAAAAGTTATGTCTAGTTTTAAATAGAATAAAAATTGAGTCAAAAGTGGTAAAAAGTGTAAAAGATTGTGCAAATGGAATGCAACGGAGCAAAGAGATTTGTTCGGAATTTGAAATTGGCACAGAAGGAAAAGTTGTTCAGAATAAAATTTTGAGCAAGACTATATTTTTAGAAAATATTTTCGGACCGGATCAAAATCCGGCCAACCAGGTGCTGCCACGTGGCGCAACCTGGCTGGCCGGCCAACTGTGGCAACAGCAGCAAAAGAGAAGAAAGCAAGTGGCTGGCCGGCATCCCCATCAAAAGAAGTTAAAAGAAAAATGAGAAAGAAAGATTGAAGGTAGTGACGCAAGAAGAAACAAAAAAAAGTGAAAAATGCTAGGGGTACACCAAAAGTGTACCCCAAACATCCCCCACCCCCTCCATCACCACACAAAAAAGGCAAGAAAATTTCAAAAAAAGTAAAAAATAAAAAGAAAATAAAATGAATGGTGTAGAGGCAAGTGGTGTACATTTGGGGTACACTTTTGGTGTACCCCTAGCATATCCCAAAAAAAGTATATATGCTCCGTACTTGTTTGATTTGCAAACGAAAGCCATCACGCGCACTAACACTTCAGGCGTGCGCCTGGACCTCAGGCCTGGACCGAAATTTTCTCCTATAAAAGGAGGGCTTCGACCCTTCATTTACACCAAGCCTTCTTCCGGGTCTTTAAGGCCCGGAATTCCATTCCCCGCTCTTTTCTCAGTTATATTTTAATATTTTAGTTTAGTTTTGTTCCGGTTGTCCCAAAGTGGGTCCGACTCTGCTCTCTGTTGTAAGTTTTAATACTTGCAATTTTAATAAAATGTTCTTCTATTTTATGCACTGTTAATATCTAGTATGGGTTAGGGCCCAAATTAGGGTCCTGGCTAAATTTGGGCATATACTCTGTATGTTTATTTAATAGTTGGAATAATTGTTCTAGAATTATTTTTATTTTTAAATTAATTAATTATGTGGAGAGAAAAATTAATTAATAATTGGAAATTAGTTTTTGCCTTGTCTATGAGGATATAAGATTAATTAAGCCAAACTTTTTAGAACACATTAATGTTGCCTTGAGAGAGGATAAGTTAATGAAATATTTGTGACAGAAATATTATTATTCCAATTATTGATTAAATATGTGACAACAGTAGTTAACTCAGATGATGCCTTGGCCCGAAGTCTAGTCCTATACCCATACTATTTATTTTCTTTTTCTCAAAAAGCACCTAGTACTTTAGTTTATTTTCAAATCAAATCGAGAAGACTTTCAGACCCTTCCTAACCTTCGTCTAGTTAGAGAAAAATTAGCTAATTCCCTTCGTCCACTCCTCGAGAGACACGACACTCGGAGAAAACTAACCCTTCATTGGGAAAGTTGACTTACCGAAAAACTCAATCATCAAATGGCGCCGTTGCCGGGAGTGGCACGGTTTTAGTTTAATTTTTTTTAATTAGCTTAGGTGAAGACCGGTTAGGTCGATCTTCTCACCTCTTTTTCACAAGCCACCCGTAGTAATCATTAAAAATGAATTTTCGAGATGATTACTACGATCCGCCTCCTTTCTACCAACCACCCAACCATCCACCATCATTTTCCCAACAGTCCAATCCCTATCCACCACCACCACCACCACCACCATATTATCCACATAAGGATTCCTATTATGATGACTACTCAGTCAATAATGGACCTGATTATTATCCATACTATGACGAACCATCATACGATACCCCGTCTCGGAGCTTTGGATATTCTCCATACCAAGACAACTGTGAGGACTATGATGAACCTCATGGTGATCAAGATGATTATGACGATCAAGAGCCAATGTACGATAACCAGCTAGATCCACTTATTGAAGAGATTTTGTGGACTGAGGAAAGAATACTTTATCTTGACCTAGCATTAGTAATGGAGTGTTCATTATTTGAACCACCCTATTGCCGTGATTACGCTCTGACTCGTGAAGAGCAAATCGAAGCAAACATAGATGCAATCCAGGCGAGAGAACGATTTCTCAAAACAGTCAAAGAAGAACGCCAACTGCTCCAAACCTAGAAAGATAACGAACAACGCGAATATTGGGAGCATATGCAAAAGATGCTGGAGGACTTTAAGATAAGAAGGCTATGGAACAACAAGAAGAGATGGAGGAAATTGTTGTTCTAGAAGAGGATGAAGAATCTGAGACAGAATCTGAAACTGAATCCAACAATGTTTCAATTCTTGAATACCCACAAACTCCATCACCACTGTATATCGAAAATAAGATAACACTTGCAGAAATGATTGCACGAGGTACAGTGGTGATGCTTCCTGAAAGCCCAAAAAGTCAAATCGTACAAGAGGTGAAGCCTACCGAGGGTCCTGTCTCGGAACCGCCTTCACCCGCTGCACCAGAAACGTTGGAGGAACCTGTCCTCCTTACATGTGTTGAAGACACTTCTCCAGAGGAACCTGTTCTGGAGAAATCTGAGCCCACCACCGACCCCCTTGATTCCGATACTGATGAGTCTGACAAATCTATAGACGAGAAATTACCTTGTGATGCCGAGTCCATTCCGTCTATAGAAACTATCACTGAAGGCTCAGGGGAAGTCCATGCCGTAATCATCTATCCACCAACTGAAAGTCAGCCCATTGGGGACTTGGAAAGTCAGATCCTGGCACTGAAGGCTAATGATGTGGATACACCGAGGAGACTCCCACCACCACCCATCCAAAACGAGTCTCCTCCATTTTTCTTGTTGCCACCAAGCCGTAAGAATGAGTCAAAGATCATGGACTTTGACTGGAAAAGAACAGAACAAAGGTGGCATCAGAAGAGAGTCAAAAAGGTTAAACTTTATGACTCTCAGATCGGTAAGTCCCGTAAAAAACGGGCTAACGTCAAGCTAGTGATGTTAAAGAAGCGCTTCTTGGGAGGCAACCCAAGTGAATAAATTTAATTTTATTTTTCTTTTTCCTTTTTACGCGTTTTGTGTTTATGTGTGCAGGTGGAGTTTGGAATTAGGAGTTCTAGTGAACCATTTTTGACTCAACAAAAAAAAGAGGAATGACTAACTTTTGTGCACAATTTTGTAAAAACTTTTTTTTTAAAAGAAAAAAAATTGAGATTATCTCTGTCCCAAACTCTTGTTTTTATCGCTTAATGACCTCGAGGGCGAGGTCAACCCTAAGTGTGGGGAGATTGGAGTTTGGTACAGAATGTTTTTAGTTGTGTAGGAAAACTTTTTGAAAATATTTTTATACACTTTGTTGCATTTTGTATATTAATAGTAATCTCTGCACTGTGTACGGAATGACTGCCTAAGCTGGAATGGTACTTAAGTGGACACAAAGGGTGACGCCTTCGGGAGACGAACTGGTCCCACCATTCCTACTGGGTCATTCTGTGGAATGGTTTATTCGGGTGAGCCTAAGAGCACCTAATTGGCAGCATTCTGCCTAATCCCGAATACTCTGAATCGGTCTAGTTATCACTATTGATACTTTTAAAATTGTTTTACACTTTTTACTCTTTTCATAGGTAGAATTATTTTTAATAGCCTCCTTATGCAAAATTAGCCAAAATTTTAAAATTTTTTCTTTAAATTGCACATATAGTCTTTTTATTGGCTAACTTTAATAAGTTTTGTAAATAAATAAACTTGGATACTAATGTGTTGAAAATAAATCATTGATTTAGTGAATAAATATTAACTCGTAAAATACGTTAAGGTCAAACATTTGTAACTTGTTATTTAAAATGATGTTGTTTCAATACTTCAAATTGAGTATGAGCAGTATATTTTTCTGAAAATTTGATATTTCAATGATTGCATTGTAAGTTTTGAAACTAAAAAAAAAAAATTCAAAGAACACACTTTGGTGAGACCGAGTTCTGGAGTGAATTCAAAGTCAAAAAGCATTTGGTTCTATGTCAGATGATGAGACTTATATTGAAGTGAGTGCCAAAAAGCACGCGGTTCTATGTCGTGTGATGAGGCTTATATTGAAGTGAGTGCCAAAAAGCACGCGGTTCTATGTCGTGTGATGAGGCTTTTGAGTGAATAAAAATCCAAAAAACTCGTGGTTCTATGTCATGAGATGAGAATCAAAGTTTTTGCTTGTGTCAACATGACAAAGTGATGTTCTACAAAAAAAAAATCAAACTTACTCTTTGCATAGGAATAAATGATAATTTCAAAAAAGTTTTTTTTTAATTTTTTTTCAATGTACATATTTTTGACCTTAAATTATTCTGCAGTTATTATAAAACACTTACAATTCTTTTATTTTAGCCATTAGTATTTAAGTTTGTAAATGGACAACTTTTACATTTAGCCAATAAAATTAATATATGTGCATCTTTTAGAAAAACAAATAAAAATATATTGCTAACTTTTTGTAAAAAGGGTGCTAGTTCTAGTAATTCTATTTTTTGTAAAGAATAAATAGTGTAAAAAAAAAAGTTTTGTGCAATAAATTGTTTAAAAGTATGGTCACAAGTTTTTTCAAAATCTTTTTGTTAATAAGTGTTTGGTCCAGAATTTCATTTGTTTTTGTACTCTGTTGCTTGAGGGCAAGCAACGCTTAAGTGTGGGGAATTTGATAAGTCCGTTTTGTACGCACTTATCTTCTCTATATTTAATGTGTAATTGTCCAATTTTAGATCAAACAAATCAATTTCTCAATGGTTTTTATAAGTTTTTATTTATAATTGTAAACGTGCACAAAAGTTATGTCTAATAGAATAAAAATTGAGTCAAAAGTGGTAAAAAGTTTAAAAGATTGTGCAAATGGAATGCAACGGAGCAAAGAGATTTGTTCGGAATTTGAAATCGGCACAGAAGGAAAAGTTGTTCAGAATAAAATTTTGAGCAAGACTGTATTTTTAGAAAATATTTTCGGACCGGATCAAAATCCGGCCAACCAGGTGCTGCCACGTGGCGCAACCTGGCTGGCCGGCCAACTGTGGCAACAGCAGCAAAAGAGAAGAAAGCAAGTGGCTGGCCGGCATCCCCATCAAAAGAAGTTAAAAGAAAAATGAGAAAGAAAGATTGAAGGTAGTGACGCAAGAAGAAACAAAAAAAAGTATATATGCTCCGTACTTGTTTGATTTGCAAACGAAAGCCATCACGCACACTAACACTTCAGGCGTGCGCCTGGACCTCAGGCCCACGCCTGTCAGAGGCCTGGACCGAAATTTTCTCCTATAAAAGGAGGGCTTCGACCCTTCATTTACACCAAGCCTTCTTCTGGGTCTTTAAGGCCCGGAATTCCATTCCCCGCTCTTTTCTCAGTTATATTTTAATATTTTAGTTTAGTTTTGTTCCGGTTGTCCCAAAGTGGCTCCGACTTTGCTCTCTGTTGTAAGTTTTAATACTTGCAATTTTAATAAAATGTTTGTTGGGAAAAAATATTATAGATTTTGATGATGATGTATTTAGAATGTATTAGGGACTTTAGGTCTCCCCCATTATTCAATGTAATTTTTCTTTTTAGAAATATTGTCAAAACTGAGCTCTTGAGATTTCCAATAAAGTTGTGATATTTCTTTAAGCATTTTGATGCCTGAAGACTTAATCAAATTCAGTGATATGAAAATTGGATATCTTGATCGGAAATGTCAGAGACAAGTAAGGATTTCTCAATCAGATGAAAATCCTCAGATCCGGAAGACTACATAAGAACCGGATGTCTCGCTACAACCCGCTGAAGGCTAAGTCATCCAAATCGGAAGACTAGCGCGGATCTTTTTCTCACCCGGAAGTCTGAAAATGACTCCTCCGGATTTGTCAGCCAAGAATCGGAAGACTCACTGAAGACCGGAATTCTCAGAAAGCGGACAAGTGAGAAAAGACTTAGAAAAATTATCTAAGTCTTGAATGAAGAAATTCTACCCGTTGGTAAGGAAAAATCAATCTCTTGTTTTTCAACGGCTAGATTGGAGATAATTATGCTGATTCAAGAACAAATTACTCGAAGACAAAGTCTGGCCCTCTAAATTGAAGAGCCTGCCTAGAATTCCTAAACAAGCACTAGAAGACAAACAGAGTAAAGTGCTACAGTCTTGAATTCTTGAACAACAGCTAGAAGACGGATTCTGTGGAAAAAGGAATCCTTTCTCAACAATTGGGTACGTCCAAACACCCACTTCAACAAAGAATCTTAAAATCACAATCTTCATTCAATCCAGCTATAAATAGCATCCTTGGAAGACTGGAGAAGGTATGAATGATGAGATACATTGATACAACAACACAACGAAGCAATCTAAGCTATCTCACTCACAGTTAGCTTAAAAAGCTTGATAAAGAGAGATCCTTAAAACTCCTTATCCAGAAGAAAACTCCTCCTCCTTCCAAAGAGCTATAGGGTAAACACTTGAAGGTTTCCTTGCCTCAAGTACCACACCACGTTGAAGGATACAACTTTTTGATCAAACTTCTTGATTAAAAAGGGGGTAGGTCAACTTTCTTACAAGTTGGTCTTGCAAGTCCTATTGTTCGGACGTTGCAGTTGTTGAAGAAGCGTGACCTTCGAAGGAACAACAAAGCCAGCACGAGTGCAGTAGCAACATTGGTCTTGCAAAGATATACCGTGCAGAAATTCACACAAGTGTAATTGTTGGTTCATTATTCAACAACCAACTACATAGTGGATTTTGAGGACGTTGAAGGATTACCCCACCTTCGAACCTCGTTAAAGTTTGCATGTCTCTCTCTTTTATCTTTACTCTTACTTGCAATTATATTGACTGTGAAAACTAACCCATCCATATTGATTACTGCTCACTCTACCCACCAAAATTCCGCACACAATCTAAAGTTCACAAGAACTCTAGATTAACACTTATTTTCACGTTTTCAAAAGAAACGAAAAAGATTTTAAATTTGTAACAAAGTCTATTCACCCCCCCCCCCCCTCTAGACTTTGTCTCTCACCACTTTGGGACCACGAATTGGTATCGGAGCTAACTTCTCACTATCTACGTTTAGATTAACGAGAAGCGATCAAAATGGTGAACAATATGGATCACGGTTTGCCCAAGTTTTCTCTTCTAGGTTATGATGATTGGAAGATCATGATGGAAGCACATCTCTACGCTCTACATGATTGCATGTGGATGGTGCTTGAGGATGGACCCTTGAAAATCCAAATGGAGAATCCTGAGAGGAATCCAGCAACTCCAGACGTAGTCCAGTACATTCCAAAGCCCAAGGAAAAATGGGATGATAGAGATTGCAAAAAGCACAATCTGGACAACGTCGCCAAAGCAGCCATCTTCAAGACACTCAATCCCATCACCTTCTCCAAAATCAAGCATCTCAAGACTGCCATGGAGATATGGCAAGGTCTTGGGAAGCTATGTGAGGGATCAGAGGACTTGAGAAAGCAGAAGATAGAAGTCCTGCTTGAGAAGTTCAAAGGCTTCAAAATGCTTCTCGGAGAATCATTTGATATGTTGGATGAAAGATTCCACAAAATCTTAAATGATCTTGCCTCACTTAACCACGTTCTTTCTCCCAAAGAAAAGAATGTAAGGTTGCTAAGATCTCTTCCAACCGAGTGGTACACCAAAGCCACAGCCATGGAAGAAGGAAGAAACCTGGAAAACTACACTGTCCAGGGTCTTCTTGATGAGCACAGAACCTATGAGCACGAGCTGAAGAAGAAGAAGGAAGAACAAGTCACTCCCTTCCCCACGGCACTAATGACAACCCCCAGAGTCCCAACAAGTGAAGGGACATGCCCAAGAAATTGTGACACACCTTCCTCCAGCCAGCCGTCAAGCTCAAAAATGGAAAACTACGATGAGGAATTTGCCATGATGGTTAAGCAATTCCAGAAGTTCAAGAAATTCTTCAAGAAGGCTGACTCAGTCAGAAGGCCATCCAAGGGAAAGCCACAGGTAAGTGACTCTCCTCCTGAATCTTATTTGTGTTATAACTGCAGGAAGCCTGGCCACTGGAAGTCAGCATGCCCGTACCCAAAGGTGGAGAAGTACGGAGAGAGAGAAAGGAACGAGAAGAAAAAGAAGGCAATGGTTGCTGCTGAGAGTGACGAGTCATCCAGCTCAAGCTCGGATGAAGAAGCCCTTGTCTGCATGGAGCGCAGAGTTGAAAAGTCCAACCATGAGGATAGGTGGACTATGTCAGAAGATGACACTCTCTGCCTAATGGCCAAAGATGATGCTGATCAAGAGGTAACTTCACAAACCTCCTGCTCATCTTCTTATGAAAGCATACCAACTTCTGAAAATCTCTTTGACCAGTTCAAAAAGATGATGGTAGATTTTGAGGAAATAAATCTCAAACATTCTTCCTTAACAGAGGAGAACAAACTATTGAGTGAAGAGAATCTCAAGTTGACTGAAGGTCGGAAAAGTCAACTGGATGAGATCACTCAACTCAAGACTGAAAATGAATCTCTCTCTGAAAAGGTGAAATCCCTTAACAAAGAACTAGGGACACTTAAGTCCAAAGAAGCAGTGGATAAGCTTCTTGAAACGACCAAACATAAGGGTCGTGAAGGACTTGGGTTTGACCCCTCCAGTTCCAAAAGAAAAGGGAGAACAACTTTCATCCCTCCTAAACCTACTGCTAAACCAAATAAGCAGAAAGGAAAGGAAAAGGAGAAACCAACAGAAGTTCCCAAAAAGGTAGTCCCTCCTAAGAACTATAGGAAGCTAGACAAACCTCAAAAAGGAAATAATTTCAGAAGAAAACCTTCTAACCCCCATTATACACGAGGCTATACTCATTATGGGGTAGATAGGAGTTTTCCAAGAAATTCTGAGTGAAGAACTATGCCAAGATATAGTCACCCTCCACCCCAGAAACTATTTGTGCCACCTAAGTATGCTTATAACCGACACAGGCCACATTATGCACAACCTAGACAAAATCATAGGTCTTATCAACCTAGGTTTGCTAGGAGGAAACAGGAAATTGCACCTCCTGCACGTAGAAGTTTTATGCCTACAACTATGATTACAATCCCAACAAGTTTAGAGCTGCAAGGAAAATTCCATGCAACTTCAAACTTGATGTAGGGACACACACCATTAACTACTCCGGACCCAAACTTAATTGGGTACCAAAATCTTCCTCCTCCTAATGCAAGAAGCCACTAAGTACCCAGGTGTCTGGTACTTAGACAGTGGCTGTTCAAGACACATGACGGGTGATGCGAGCCTTTTGAGCAATCTAATTCCCTATGATGGTCCAAGAGTTACTTTTGGAGGAAGCAATGATTTTGGCCTTACCAAAGGACTAGGAAATCTGGTGTACAAGGGACTAACCATCCAAGCTGTTTCTTATGTAGAAGGTCTCAATTATAACCTTCTTAGCATAAGTCAGTTTTGTGATAAAGGTTATTCCTTGGAATTCTGCAAGGACATGGCATCTCTCAAGAACATCTCCACAAATGAAGTCATTCTCACTGGGAAGAGAATCAGAAACATCTATGAAGTAATGTGGGATAATGTCAAGGAAGCATGTCTAATCAGCAAAGGTGACGCTGACCTTCTATGGCTTTGGCATAAGAGGTTGAGTCATCTCAACTTCAAAACCCTCAACAAGCTGTCCAAAGAAGGGTTAGTAGAAGGTCTTCCCAAAGCTGTATTCAGGAAGGAAAGCATTTGTGATGCTTGCCAAAAAGGAAAGCAGGTCAAGTCCACCTTCAAAGCAAAATCGGCACCCTCAACTACAAGGATATTAAGTCTTATTCACATGGACTTATTTGGCCCCGTTACACCAATAAGTCTAAGTGGAAAGAAATATGTCCT